ACTACTCAGCCACAGCGTCAACCACAATGCAAATCGTAATAAATAATGTTTGAAAAGTCATAAGTATTACGAATTAACAATGTTGCCACAAGAACTGTTGCATTTGGTAAGACTGTTGCGATAAAATTATTATAAAAACTCGAAATGTTTCGATTTCAATTTTCATCCAAGCGGCATACAAGTTTTAAGAAATCAATGGTAAGTTTTGAACAAACATACAACACACTTATTAGAAAGGCCCTATCTAAAATATTTGTTCCTTTGCGGAGTCCTTGTAAACCTTTAGAATAATTTTAGTTCTTCCGTTGCAAGTTTCTTATTAAGACCTTTTTAATAAACGCTGGAAATAGTTTATTAATGGGCTAGTTGTTTTTAAATTAAATTAGGTCCTTAGTGAACAATCTACCGACATTTGTACAAAGCTGAATATCGAAAGAAATTACCTCTGACTAAAATTTTCTTGTTGGCCTGATTTAAATTTAATAACTTTTAAAAGTGGTCATATTTATTATCATTTTATTAGATTTTGTACAACATAAGACATATTTTTATGTACATACATACAATACATGTATAAATATTTTTTATTTCGGAATTACAAATACAAATTAATTACATAGGAACATATAATATGTATTAAAATTACCATATTTGATAAATAAATAATTAGTAACATTTGAAATTAGATTTCTGTACATAGGAAAATATATAACATGATCGCAATCGCCTAATTTTAATACTGTAATCGCACATATTTAATACAATGTACTTAATTATACATTTCATTTACAATACAATGTATATTTGCTAAATATTTCGATTAATTTTGTTATCGCATTTTTTTTTTTACATTTCGGACACGCAAATAAAATTACAAACGAGTTTTGCATTTAAACAGAAATATTGCTGCAACATGTTGCTTCAACACGCTGCGACTTTTAGCAACATTGAGAGTTTAAAAATATATGTATTAGCTAGTTAATACATAAATATGTATGTACAAACATATGTAGCTACGCAGCTAAAAAACAAAAATTTATGCAAATTTTACAAATTGGATTGCACATTTTACATCCCCTCTCAGCTAACCGCTCAAAGTGGAGGGGTACGCGCCATTTGCGGTTGCTGTTGTTGTTGATGCTGCTGCTGCTGTTGTTGCTGTTGCTGTGGCAACTGATACGGACTGTAGCGTTGAAAATGCCGTATGCGCATATCAGGTGAGGCCGAACCGGACGAGGATGGCGTCGTAGCTGGTGGAGGTTGTGGCACTCCAACCATTATTGTCGATGGTGGTGGTGGCGGCGGTGTGCGGCAAGCATTAGCCGCTGCAGCGGCGGCGGCAGCAGCTTGTGCGGCTGCAGCCTGTTGATTGGCGCTCGCTATGAAACCGGCGGTCAGTTGGGGCCACTGTTGCCGCCACATGCCAATATTGAAAGCGTTGAGTACAGGCGGGCGTTGATAGATTTGTGGCAGCAGCATTTCCGTGTACGGTGAACGACCAAATATTTGCAAATGCTGACGCGCCTTCTCGAGAAATGCCAGTGAAGCTGCATCGGCTTCCTGTGGCGAGAGTTGTGCCATTAGAGGATCGGGAAAGAAACGTAATGGCGAGCGAAGATGTTGCTCGAGGAGAAATGAATCCATTGGGTCCCTGTGAAAGAAATGAAATGGTTTTTTCTTTTACTTTTTGTGATAATCAAAGTAAGTATTTATATATTTATTAAAAAAATGTTTATAAAAATTAGATCGCTCGATTTTACTAGCATAGTTACGAGCGGAGTTCAAAAAAGGCAGAAGGAAAGAACAAAATCGTGGATTTTTCAGCGACGGCATTTAATTTTCATTTCGCGTCAAGATAGCTGAAAGTTAAGCTGACATGCATTTGTTTGCTGACTGGTATGATATGTATACAGGGTGTACCTTTTACCCTTTCTTAAATTGAGGAAAATGTTACGAACGGAAGTGAGTTAAACTTCCGGGAATTCCATTTTTTATGGGATATACTTGCTTTTACCACAGTTTCGAATTCTATTATTTAGAGACTGAAAAATATAGTTCCGAAAAAAAAATCGAAACAAGAGCTATGTACATATTTTTATCCCCAGAATCCGAAACTGTTGTAAAAGCATATACATATGTCCTATTTTAAAAATGGAGTTCCATCGAAACCGGATGTCAGTAATACACCAAAAGCTAGAGCATCCTCTGCTTCGTAATGAATATTTTTCCGTTTTCCAATAAAAAACATTTTTCTACATTTTAGAACAGGTTGACGGGTGGTCTAGGAGGCCCTGTATATATTTGCCATCTGGCCGTTTCCCGTTTAACTTTTACGTATGTATCAAAACTTCGTCTGCGAGTTTCACTGATCTTCAACCTTTTAAACACTTGGCTGAAGGAGGTCAAGGTACAATTAGGCATCGACACCAACAGCAAACTAGTAATACCGGCGCTTAATGACCCGAAAATGTTTGGAGTTATCTTTAACTACCTGGCCATATCCACACACACAACTAAAATTGTCATTAAAGCACAGAACTTCAATAAAGCGCCCAAAGAAAAGAAGAGAGAAAGGGGCAAAAACAAAAAGCGTTACCTATACCACGCAATTGGCGGGCCAGTTCAAAATTATGCTACTCCAATTTGGTCACTGGGGACTATTTAGCAGAATGCAGTAAACTAAGTTACAGATCTGCAAAAAACATAGCACTACATAGCACGGAACGGGGTGCCTTGGATTCTTAGCGATGCGTCAGGGACATGATTTTTTGCTTAATAAGCAAATGGCGCTTGGCTCCTACCGTAGAAAACACTTAAGCAGACACTTGCTAGAAGCAGATCCACCACTCAGGGATAGGATCTTTACAAATTCACGGCCAAGATCCAGACATACATCCACTGGGCAAGATGTTGTAAAGAGAGGCCATAAACGGCAATTACCACCAACTCTCTACCCTTGTATACCGTCATCGGAGTTCAACCACATAAAGTCAACTGATGACATAAAGTCAACTGATGACATCGATTGGTTTTCTAACCGATTAAGGCAAGACTTAGTGGTGAATATCTGCTCATCACGTAATCTTAAGTGAATTGGAATTCAGTTTAAGTGATTCTCAACCAACACAATTAAGCCGAAACTTGCAATGGCGATATCCTGAGCAAATAAATTTACAGACCCCTAAATGCTATCATTAAAGAGATGTGAACTATTGGCTCTTGGCCTATTATCATCTGCTTCATTGATTTATTTGCGGATTGTGAACATTTTAGCTTGAAATTCTGAAGCTTATCATTAGCTATATTGGAATTAAGCCAGCATCATGACACCCTTTAAATAAAAATCTATGGAATTACACTATCCTGGTCTAAAGCTTTGACCAACGAGAGACTGCTGCAAACCTTAGCGTTCTGAATAATTTCTACGATTAAATAAATCTTTCGGAAGAAATCTATATAAAAGCTTCACGGAACGAAAATTTCTAGTGAAGAAAACAGCATTCGGTTTTGTTATGAACTTTAAAAAAACATTTAAAATGCGTTTTTCGGTTCTTGCGACCAGGGAAATGGATTCATTGCATACTGGTTTCAGGGTAAAGAAAAATGGAAAATGAAAACCTTCTATTTTTACTATTTATTTGGCTATCTCTTATTGTTCCCGAGATATCTGATTTTATTAATTGGTTCCAAAATATAACATAATGCGGCTAGAAATAGTCATCGAACTTGAGGCTCTTCATATAACCATAGATCAGGTCGTCGATAAACTCAGGTTGTCAAAAATAGAGTTATGCAGCAAAGCAACCTGGAGCATCTTTTCCCTCGAGGGACTCCTCCAAGCTAGCACCCTGCAATGCCACACGGAAGACTTAGAATCCCCAGAACGAATAGGGGCAGAAATCTTTGGATTCAGGACCAGAATCTCTGTTTCTATAGGCAAATATCCATGCACTTTTAAGGCGATAGTTTACGTTATATATAGCTAGTTATACATAAAAGCTACCGGAACGAGATTATCATTATTCTAAGTGATAGTCAGAAATGATGTAAATCATCATTAGTTTTTGTAATGGGTACTAGGCCACAGGGAAATAAGGCTAATGAGACCTTAAACTGTCTCGCTAGAGAGACGGCAACCTTAACTCCAATTGACCCTGAGCCCATCCTGGAAGTATGTCCCAAAATCTAATACCCTCCGAAAGGAAAAAGTTAAAATAGGTATGTACTTGCAGGTATCTTTGTATCTTTACAGGGCACTGTAGCCAAAGAGCGCATCTGCTTGTAAATGTATAAGCTGGGGATATGGTCAAATGGTCTTTGTCGTCTCTGCGTCTGTACCAGTGACGCCAGCACTAAATATTCTCATTGAGTGTGATGCCGTCTAGAGAAGACGGAGGATGCTATCATGACATGGCTTTTGTAAATTTTCAAGGGATGCATAGCCCTTAACTACGTCCCTTTGTCGTGGAAATGAGTGACATAAGTTTTCATCTCAAAAAACTGGTAAGCGAGCGCACATCTACGCCAAAGATTTTCGAGCAATTATCTCAACTACCTTTGTTCTCAAAGCTTTCGAGGGGGTTCTAGACGCGCACGTCCGAGGGTTTTTCCACGGCGATAGTATGTCTTAGGCAAAGCATTCATATTTACGAGGACGATCCCCTGAGACGGCGCTTCATGAAGTCGTTTGAACAGTCGAAATTCCTAGGCGAGCTTGGTGTCGCGGAGTCTATAAGTTCATGGCTAATGGCGATGCTTCGCAGCAGAACTATTTCAGCGGAACTTGGAAGCTATACACTAATAAGAAACGTTAGTAGGGGCACTCCTCAAGGTAGATTGATCTCTCTAATTTTACAGTTTAGCACCAACAAATCAGTACCGGCCCTGACTATGAAGCGATTTTAGTAACCGGGTTATTCGCATCTGTGGTGAGCCACATCATCGATGGAACTTTAGTTGAGCTATGCCGATAATTCGAGCAATGTGGCCTTAGAGTGAACCCATTTAAAACAGAATTAATGTTCTTTGCATCCAGGAAAAAGGTTGCTAGATTTTTATTACTAAAGCTGAATGGACAAAACCTACGATTATCTAAATAAGCGAAGTATTTGGGAGTTATACTGGAATTTAAGCAAAGCTGGAAAATAAATACTGAAGAGTGAGTAAAGAAAGCGAGCATTGCCTATTACTCCTGTAAGCGGCTTTTTGGGAAGTCATAGGCTCTTAATTCAAAAGTGGTACACAGCTGTTGTTCGATCTTATGCTACGATTCTCTGGTATGGCGGGCAGCCTTAAAAAAACCAGTATAATCATGTGAAACTAGGCAGAGTTCAGAGGGCTGCACGCGTCGGTATTCGCCATAGCTGAAGCCTACCATCTCTTAGAACATAGTAGTTTACCTCACGGCGAGCGTGTATCCATTTTCTCAGATAGCTAAACGGGCATTAAGGCCTTGGCGTCTTTTGCAAAAAGGTCGAAACTTATCAGGGAGTGTAGCACGCTTTTAAATTCAGTAAGTAGTCAGCTCGATCTAGATTTAGTTTGTGTCCCTGGTCATCGCAACATTCCCGGAATCGAGGCTGCTGACGAATTAGCCGGAAAAGGTTGCACATTGATGTCCGATTGGAACCTTATATAGATACATCTTTCTCCACAATCTTCAGAAGTCTGATCAAAGGTGGCGCACGGCGGCAGGTTGTCGTAAGAGAACACATATGCTTGTAGCAACCCTTACTAGGCATTAGACGGTTGGTACCATGCGAGAAGGCTGGGAATCGCCTACAACAATTTATGTGGAAGCTGCAAAGACGAGAACGAGAGGTAAACAGGAGCTTCTTTGCAAATGCCCAGCTCTAATGAGGAGCAGAAATACCATGCTAGGAGCATATGAGTTCACATCGTTACGAGAGCTATCTGATACACATAAGTGTCCACAACATACTCAACTTTACAACGACGCCGATTGGTTCTAACATATTCATTCGAGGTATATGTTATCAAAACGGCACTTAGCTGCTACTTGGGCATAATAGTTTTTCCGCCACCATTTTAACCTAACCTAACCCCGAAAGCGCTGCTAAACCTTATGTGGGATTTGGGTTTAGAAGAAGTATTGTGAAAAATAGTGCGCACAATAGGTTACTAGTTCCCGGTGCACTCCTATTTTTAATATCTATCTATCTATCTAGTCTCATCAAAACAGGTCACATCATCTGCATATGCCCATTGGAAGATACCACAGCGCGTAAAACTGATCCAAATGTTTTACGGAAATGGTTGTTTTGCACTTCGCGCATTGCGTGATTTTTTCGGTCATCATAACCGGCCATCTGAGTCAATAATCAGCCGTTTGGTGCACAAATTTTAAGAAATCGGGTCGGAGCAAAACGCGAAAATACCAGTGCATCCTTGTACTGGTGCTTTTTGGGCTGGCGGAGTCATCAAATCCTACTTCTTCGAAAATTATGCCTATTATCGCTGTTATGGCGAACATTATCGTAACATGGTACCACCCTTTTTATGGCCAGGATTAATTGGCATAGGCTTGGTTTCAACAGGACGGTGCCACTTGCCATACCTCGCATGAAACAGTGGCCCCAATGCGAACGAAGCTCTTTATTACCACTGCACTTCTTTCTCTAGGGGTACGTGAAAAGTATAGACTATACCAGTAAGCCGGAGAGACAACACCAGAGCTGAGGAACGAAATTATATGCGTTACAAATTACATAGAGCCGAAACAACATTTTTTGTTGTTGTTTATATACAAAAGAAAATCTGCGGTTTTTTTAATCACTCTGCACATACATACATATACAGTTATCCTACAGATACATTGCGACAGAGCTTACAGCCAAGCAATCTGGTTTGCAACATGTTGCTAAGAGTATGGTTTCGGAACAATTATTAAACACTCCTTTGCATTCGAATGTCGAGGCTTTTTTCTGCTATTTTTGTGTTAATGTATTATTTTTGTCTCATTTACTTCTCATTTGATAGTGTATAATTAGCAGTTGGCAAAACAACATCACCATGAATAGTAACAAAGTAATCACAACAAAAAGTCTGAATTACAAGCAACTTAGAACACGAATGGAAATAACACCAATAAAACGGAAAATAGTAAAAAATTTCATACAATCATATAGCAACAAAAATACTGGTGCATATTCAAGTTGATGTTAAACCCGTTTTTTGTTGCTGTATGTCAGCAGTATTCACTCATTACTAGCGTTTCGTTAGTTGGCCATGTTCGTGTTGCATGTACGAATGAGCTTCAAAGTTAAATTCGCCGACCTATAATTTTCTCGGCCAACTTAAAATGCTGCCGGCCGCTGCGTAATTGTGTTGTTGTTGCTGCTATACGAGCACTTCTATATGGTACAACTGCTTGTAAAGATATCTTGTACGATACACATGTGTTGTTGTTATAGTTGTTACTGCTGATTTGCAGTGGCAGTGGCAGAATTTTCTTTTTTTTTCGTTTTTGCACCGAAAGTGTCGAACAATAAAAAAAAACGCTCCAGCATTTATAACCCAAAACGGAAAGAAGTGAAAATCATTTTGATCCGACACTTTAGGAGTTTGCATTCTTTTTCATTAAGTGCGCAAACTTGGCTGCTTGTCTGCAACTTGCAACACTTTGTGTTTTGTAGTTTCTGTCGATTTTTTTATATGCCACACTGCATGCATTTAAATTTTTATTATCTCTAAATTTTTTCCTCACACACAAATTTAGCAAATTTGCGGCCAAAATATTTTCGGCTTTTATGACATGCGATATAATTTTTAACACTTCATTCGCCAGCACACCCATCGCACATAAAGGCGGCGACACACATTGGTACCTTTGTAAGCGACGGTGAGTGGATCCAGTGTAGTAGGAATGGAATGTCGGGTGCAAAAGCGAACCTTTGAATGCGGCAGCTATGCACGCACGCGCGCACGCAACATGCAATGCCAGTGAAATGCGTAATTGTTGCTGAAAATTTATTTATTGCTAAATTGGCTTTTGTTGCCTTCTCTTGGCTTGGCTTCTGCCCAAAGCTAAAGGTGGGACAAGAATGCGAACGTATTTTGACAAGCGTCGAATGCAATCAATCATTTTCACTACTCTGCGACGGAGAAGACATGCGAAGAAAGCAGATAAATAGTGAAGCAGAATATGGATGGATCACTCAAAGGAAGCTTTAAGTTAAAAGAGACGATTTGATAAACTGACCATTGTCGGTAGGTTTCGAAAGTTTATTTTGGTAGAACTCAGCAGGTTTTAGACATATCTTCATCTCTTATGGAAATGTGGCGATTTTGTTACTGGTGTTTTTCATTGCATTTGTGTCTAGCACACATCCATAAATGTATGTACATATGTACATTAGGGCAGGTCAATTTGTATAGGTGATTTTTTCGACTAAGAACCTATAGCATAGAAGGATTGTACGTGTAATTCTAAGCAAATATTCCAAATTGCGAAAACAGGTATAAAACTGTATTGTATGTATTACCAGAACCTATTAAACTTTTACTTACCTATCGAAATCAGTCAGACGCGATGAGTCCCGAAAACCTTTCGCAAATGGATTCGAATCGATTTTGAGCTTCGTTATCAATTGATTTTGATACGCTGTAACCGCTGTGAATACAGTTTCAGGAAAAACATACGTTTTGTGATCCAATTCTTGCAGTTCCTTTGGAGTGTGGGGTATATTTTGACCATGGGCGAGGCGCACCAAATGTATGCGCGGCTGATAGCGATGCATGGAGTTGAGGACGATCTATGGAAAAGTTGGAGAAAGTGTGAAAAACGACATATAATAAAATCGCTATAAATTAAAAACTAAACAAAACATTAATAAAAATTTAAAGAAATAAATATAAAATACAAGTTGGAACCATTGGCAAAATCTTGCATTTGACAACGCAATGATCAAAATTAATCTTCTCGAAATTGTGTGAAAATCAAAATTGTATGCATGTCTGCTCGCCGTAAAAGTGGCCAATGCAATAATAGGTTATTTCCCATCACGCCTCATCGCCCGCAGAGATAAATAGCGCAAACGAACTAAGTTTTTAGATATGTAAGCAAATCGTATGCCTTTATCTACCATTTATGTACTATATTATGAGCCAGGCATTCGCAAGGAAAAATTGGAAACAAAATAATTTAATTTTGAATATCTCGTAAAATTTTTTTATTTAAAATCTAAAAACTGCAAGAATTAACTCCAAATATTCTATGTGAACGATTTGTTTTATTTAGCAAGGTAAATGGGGCCAATACGAAGCTAATATGTAATTTAAAGGGTGTTAAAGTAGAATAAAATTATTCCATTTTGTTTAAAATTCTGCACTATTTTGAAATTTTTTATCTCGATTTGTTATATTTTTTTAAGTAAAAAAAAAGAATAAAACGAACGTGAGTGGCACCATTCTCTTGTTTTGTGAACTCACCATCTAAGTGTTCTGCGAATATTTTTGCTTTAAACAAAAACCAAAAAAAAAAAAACATTTTGAAAACACTGTCTTGATAGCGCTTGTACTTAAGAAAAACAGCGCAGCTACGTGCACTTTTATGGCAGAAATTATGTATGCATGTATGTAGATATGTATGTACAATATGTAAATATAAGAGTGTCTATAAATGCAGAGAAAAGTGTAGAAATAACAGTTTAAGCGAAAAAGTGACCAGCACGGCAATAAAGAAATGGAAACAATACGAAAAAACTGCATTTACGATCATTGTTGCCACCTTTTCAAATTTCACATTCACCACTTTGCCATGATTACTTTGCTGTATATGTGATAACCTGCTTCTGTTCGATTTTTTTGTTTTTTTTTTTTTGGGTAAACATCCTTATTACTCTTGACTTATTTAAATTTTTTCTTCGCTCTCGTTGAGTTCCGCCTTTTGTTCGGCTCGTTTGTGCATTTTACGATAGGTAATTTGCACGTGCAAAGGTATGTACATACATATATATATATCTATTTATTGAAATGTTAATGCCGGCGTGTATGAGTTTGCGAAAACTCCTCTACTATAATGCTTCGCCACAAAGCGTCTATACTGTTTTGTTAAATATTTATGTTTGCAAAGTAACAAGTTTGTCGATTGTATACAAATAACTACATACATATCCACATGCAAATGTGCCTTGCTTTAAAGCGCATCGAGGAAGGTATCTCAAAGTATGGCATCCGTTGGAATACAGTTCACTAGTATTGCATTAATTTTTCTTCTTATTGTTGGTTTTTATATCCAACCTAAAACTTTCTTGAAACCTTTCTTTTTTAAATTTTCTTCGCACTCACCTGTCCATTTTTATCCATTTCGTTATTCGTCAGTTTCACCTTCTCGAAAGAGACTACCTGTTTCCTTAGCGCCTCCACACTTATGGGACAATCTGGATGCGGATAGAGTCGCGCTGGAGGCGGTGGATCCGCTTTGCCTGCTACCAGCCACGATGAACGATGATAAGCGTAGCGATAACGGCGTGAATCCATTGGCACGACATCCATCACAACTGCATAACGATCGGGTGGTTGTATCTGACGTAGAGGACCTGAGAAGCTGACACGCACGGTGGGGAACATACGTCTGCAAGGGAAAGAAGAGTATGTACAATACCTATATATGTAAAGATCAAAATTCTCAAATTATAGGTACTATTTTCAGAATTTTTTATTTTTTTTTGAAAAAAATGCGGTTTCTCCGTGTTGAACGCTCTCAACTCCCTATTGGAAATGCGATGTTGCGCTTTGTTTTAAAATTTTCAGTCCATTATCTACATGTCCAAATTTCACAGTTATGCATGCGCTATCATGTTAGTTATAGTACAGAGCATTCGTCTTTATCGCCGATTGAATTTCGACAAAGGAATAGAAGCTTTTGTAGGTACTCGTACACAAGAAAAGGAGAAAAATTCGTGGCACACAAATAATTATTACTCTTAACGGTTAGCGTTTTTTACTTAAACCCGAACGAGTATTACCGCTTGCTTCAAAGCCTTTCACTTGATATGCCTATTTTGTTATTGGCTTTTTAACATTTTTAAGGAGCTTATGACCCAGTACCGGTGGAGACCTAAACCTAAGATACAGAACTGAACATTTTCCCTTACTTACCTTGTTCAATTAAGGAAATAATTTTTTAATACAATTTGGATAATTTGGATATCTACACCTATGTGTAGCAAGCTAATATTATTACTGTATACAAAAAAATACTACAGGACCTTTACTAAACAGCAAACCGATGCCACACATTTTCCCTAAATACATAAATATTAAATATTAAAATACCTTTGGCTTGTAAAATTTGTCACAAATTAGCATATCAAGCAATCGCATAAGAGCTAATAAAAACTTAATGTGGACCCTTCAAATACTACCGCCAACGCAACGACCACATAAAAAGAGTGCTAACAATAAAAACGCATACAGAGTAGAAAGGTTCAGGGTAAATACGAACAAACTAATATTAATTTTCACGACTTAATTAATATTTCATTGTGAAAAATTAATTGGACTGCGCCAAACGGCAGCTGAACTAATTCAAAGGACATTTATCATTGCAACAGCAACAAATGCATCGATACACACATACACACACACGCACCCACCTTTGCTCAATCGCATTTTTCTTATCAAAAGAATACCAAAGAATTTTACTCGCGAACAAATTACCTACCTACCTGAATGAAAGAAAAACAGGCAAGGAAGTAAAAGACAAAGCCTAGTGTAACGGATAGCAGACAAGAAACACGCAATAAAATCGTGCTGTTGGCCACATCGAACTGACCTCGTCCGCGAAGGGTAGAGGAGAGCGGCTCAAAAGCTTAATAAAGAATGATATAAAGTGTATGCCAGGCGAATCGTCTTAAATAGGCCGCATTTATACTCGCACCGGAGAGAAGCGCTGCGCTAAAGGCAGTTCGATGGTCAAATATGTATGTGGTTGAGCCGTCTGCGCTTTTTTCACGAAAGAATTATGAAATTAATAAAATACTAATAAAGGCAGCAAATGTTTAAAAGCAAGTTGCTATTGTTTTTGTTGCTGTTGCTGCTCTGTGTGCATGGCCATATGTACATATGTATTTGTTGTTGGCAAGGTAATAAACAGCAATGCGCACACCTCTTATCGAGTAGAGCGATAAAGATCGCGTGTGACCGCTGAGCAATAGTAGTAGCGGCATTAGTGTGTATGCAGCTTAAGCGTGGCATGTTGCAGGTTGCATCGGTAGATATTTACCTAAGACATGCACACACACACATAAGTTCAGCTTTACAAGCCGGAAAGCTATGAAACCATTTGTACTACGCGTATGGAGACTTGCCGTCGACGTGCCGGTTGAATGTGGCAAAGCTGCAGAAAATTTGAATTTATGTGTTGAGTTGTCATAAAAAGTGGAAAAATTTGCATTTTTTTGTTTTATTGCATTTGTCGGTAATGGATTAACGAGCACTATAGCTGAGGTGTTGATAATGAAATTGCTGAGCGTAACAAAAGTGTAACAACGTGAAAGTCTGGCATCGATGTTATAATACGGTTAGCAACATGTTTCGGATGAGGAACAAAGAAGTTGAAGAATTTGATAAAATTCTAGACATCCCTATGCATTTCGGCAGGAACAGGAATTTTGAAGGTCCTAACGAACAAAAATTGTGGTTGTGTCAATAGCCATGAGCACATCCCAGAGGTGGTAGGTAACCCCAAATACCGCATACCTAGATCTAAACGGAGCTAATTCAAAAATCAGATCCGGAAATATAACTACTTGTGGATCGTATACATTCAGCGCAATTAAAATAGAAACAGGTATGACAATAGATTTTAGTAGGTTAGTGAATATAATCATGAAGAAAAAATATTTGCATTAATTAGAGAAAAGTTCTATGAATTGATTTATGCAAATATTTTTATATTTCCAAAACCATTTTTCATAATATCAGAAATAGTCGACAGTTTTATTTTCAGTTGAATACATCTGATAAATTCCACCAGAAATACGTTTCATTTAGAGCTGACCATCGATAGTTTCGATAGTCGATAGTCACAACCATGGATAGTATCGATATTATCGAAAATGTCGACACTATCGATACCCTGCAGTGAAAAGCCAAGCCAGTTAGAAAAAATACTAGTTCATTAAGTAGTATGTGCCTACCAGTTCGACAATTTCGAAGAACTTAGGCGATCAGCGACATCTGCCTTTGAATTGCCAAAGCCAAAAATAAAACGCAATTATAATTGCTTTTCTTACAAATGTCGGCTGTGGCGTCACGTGAAGACCACTGGTTCTGGTTCTGAAATTGCAGGTTCGAGGCCGCTTGGAGGTGGTTAAGATTTTTAAAGTTAAATAAATGTAAGTAAAAATAATTTATTCAATTTATAAATAAATAACAAATTTGATAATCTAATTGCATTGCAAAAAAACATTTAGGAAGAAATGCTTGTGCTATAAAAACAAAGAAATTAAACCAAAATATTTTTTTTTATTAAATTTAAAAATTACAATAAACAGCTTAAACAAAAAAATAAATTTATAAAAAATAATAATAAAATAAAAAATAGAAAATAAAAAAACTTTCCCTGCGCCAGGATTTGAACCTGGGACCTCAGGCTTACCACGCGAGTGCTTTGCTCTGTCGGCCATTGTGACTGCTGGAGCGTCGCGAGCAAAAAGGCACACTTATGCATTTCACGAGGCATGAATTGGCAGACTATCTTATCAACTAGTATGATGCTACTAGTATTTATACTAGTAGATGCTGATGCATAGCCTGACAATTGACATCTCGTAGGACATCGCAATGTTAAAAATACCAGTCGCTAACATTGAAAAAGGATAGAACGTGAACTAGTTGGGCTTAAACGCAAACCGGTAGAATTCTAGTTCACAACTAGTAGCTTTCCCTGCAGGGTAGTTTTGATTAAAACAGTCCAATAATTAAACATAACAACTTTTATTGAAAATGAGATCAGAATTGCTAAAATATGTCAATATTTTGGTTAAGGAACAAAAGTTTATCAACGATGTTTGGCTACAAGCAGCATCTGCGATTTAAAATATGTATCCCTGCAGTAAAATTTAGAGACAGTCTGACAAAGCGCTAGATCCGAACTACATATTTCAGAATTATCTCTGAACTGGTGCAAAACGGCTGCAGAACGAGACAGTTGAAGCTTTTGATGTGCTAGTTGCGCTTTGTTGAGAAGTAAATGCACAAATTCTCACTTCTTGTACAATACTAAAATAGCTCAGCGGGAAGATCTCCGACTGTAACATCGTTGGTCGCGAGTTCAAATCGTGGTGGAGGCAGTTGTGATTTTCAGATTTAATAAATTTAAATTTGTTTGAGTGCCTCTTAAAAATTTAAGAGAAAACGTTAAAATTTAATATAAATTAAACGAGAGAATAAAAAAATTAAATAAAAGTGCAATCTGTAAAAGAACAGAAAAAATTAGAAAAATATCAAAAAATCGAATAATCAACATTTTTTTTTTTAAACTTATTGTTGCAGATCTGTACAAAATGAAAACAGTTAAGAAAATAAAAAATATCCAGTAATCTAGTTTTAAAATTTTTTCTCATAAAAAACTTATTGTGCCAGAACTGTTGAAAATGGAACCAGTTCAGAACTAATTCGAAAGTTCTGCAAAGGTGACAATTTCCACTTCGTAGGACATCACCATGTCAAAAGAGACAGTTGAAAGCATTACGTTGGGATAGATCAACAACCAGTACCGCCTCTTAAAGAGCTAGTTCTGCGCTAGTTCCGAACTAGCGCGATTTACTGCAGGGTATGTTACTGAATAATGTATGAATAAGTGAAAACTATCGATAGCGCTTACAAACCCATCGATGATTTCGATAGTCAAAAAACATCGATACTATCGTTATTGCCATCGAAAATTTTTCAGCTCTAGTTTCATTATTAAATATTCTTAAATATTTTTAAGTTTTAGTAAGATTATATTATTAATTTCTGAACACTGTAAAATAGTAGAATATGACTTAAAAAAGTCTTTGGGGATATTCTTTATGTTATAGATTTATCAACTTAGCGAATTATTATAATTACTAACTTCTAACTTAATTTTCGAAAAAAAACAAAGAATAATGAAAAGAATATTAAACTATTTGGTTTCTTAAAAGAATTGCTAAACACTTAATTATATATTGACTGCTTTTGCCCATTATTTTTTGTTTAAAATCTGAATAAGATTGCTTTATTTTCAGTATTAAAAAAAGGAATTTTGGGCCTAAATAAATTTGATTCTAGAATATTCTTTTCCAAAATTTTAATTCCACATAATTTTTTTTCTACAGAATTTTGACCCGAAATAATTTTAATAGCAAAGAGTTTTCGACCGAAATATTTTTGAAAAGCGGAATTTACTACCACTCCCGAAAGAATTCGTTTTAAACAAGGAAGGCTCCTCTGTGATATATGTAGAAGTAGATGACAATACTCTTAAATAACACTCCCAATTTATCAACATCAGACGGAACGTGCTTCAGAACACCATGGCAGCCATCTATGGGGGCTCGTCATAAAAAAGTAAAAAAAAAATGGTTTCAATGCAAAAA